GACAGAAAATGTCAGCCCAAATGACCAAAACGAAGATAAAAAGTTATGTGGAACCGTGACTAAAACCATAATTCATGGACCATGCGTCGTACTAAAACATGCGCTCCTTTATATGAAGGACGAAAAATACACAAAAATTATCCAAACGAATGAAAATGGTTATCCACCGTATGGCCGTAGGGCGGGCAAGGAGGTCCGCCCCAGGGGGCATCGACAAAATTTCTTTACTGAGCTTGCTGGCGTAATTTTGTAAACGCAAAGTGGTTGCACTGGTTTCTGGGTCCTTTGGAATGGCCGAAACTTTACTTAGTGTTAACAGAACTGCATACTCAAAAGTCGCATGCCAACGGAGACCAACGGCATAATAACCTCTCGCAGCCTATTTAGCAATGTTCTTAGATGGGAAAGTAACTTTATTAATGACTTATTTCGAAGTTTACAAAAAAACCTTAAATTATTTTGCTCCTGAAAATGTGAATAGTCATTATTTTTACTGTTAATACACAATTAATTATCGGGTAACACTGCCAGGCAAAGCTAGTTCGTATATAGTATAAGTCCATACCTATCTCGTTTATTTTAGATTATAAGAGTTATGTTAGCAAAACTCTTATACTCTGTAACAACATGTTGCAATGGTATGAAAATGATTTGATAGCATTCAGCATTTATTTGCAACGAAATCGTGAATGAATTGTAATCACTCTATATATTTTATTAGGTTATATATTATTATGGGTTATTTACGCACTTAGTTTTATTGCTATATTTTACATTGTGTCAGCTAAAGTTATATTAAAATCACTAACCGCTGAGATATGTGATACATATGTCAAAGAAACTACCGTGGTCCAAGGTCTAGAATAAATTGTTTAGGTATACTCGTTAATATATTTTTAAGCAATTTAATAAACACAACCTTCATATGCTAGCTCCCACATTGAGCAATATATTCGGCATAAAGTATGTTACACTTAGACTAGCACGTAAACCATTTTTTTATATTTAGACTTATATTAAATTTTAAACTAATATTACTATTATCTATATCTACGTCATAAGGTCAACCAAACCTTCTAATTTTACGCCGGCTCCTACAAACCTTTTTGGAATCCCCTCGGGTACAAAATCTTGTGTTTCTAACAAGATTATTAAAAGGTAATTGCAATTTTAGTAGTTTTAAACAGAACCGTTTTATGGGAAGTGGGCGGAGCTATAATCCAATTTCAAGAATTTTTGATATGAGCTCAGGTGCTGAAAAGATTTATCTGTTATGCTCGTTACGGAACCACTGCCACGTATTCAAAACGCCAATTAACAAACATCTATAAAGTGCAATAACTAAGCGCAAAATTAAGACATAAAACTGTCATTTGGCCCAAGAGATCGTGGTAAATGTTAATAATAATAACCCAGCGATTGCACTCCTCTCGTCGCGAGAAGCGCATCAGCTTACGTGAGGAATAAAACGAGTCATGAAATGCAAGAGAGAATTTAACAGCTAGTATTTAAAACAAGACGTTTCAATTATATTTATTAAGAGAAAATATAGTCTTTTTAATTTCTAAAAAGTAATGTCAGATAAATCAGTACAGGAAATAGAATTAAAATCGTGTCATATGAGACATTATTTTTTACCCCAGGGATGATACATGATGACCTTTTAGGATCCGGGGTCATAACTGGGCATGATAATGCTCACCACTATCGACCAAATTTAGTATAATTTTATAATTCGATGACAGATAATTCAGTGGCCAAATGTCGCGGCAAAGGTGACTCGAAGCGTGGAGTAGTACACTGTGAATTCCTTCCGATCGGCCAAACGGTCCAAGGGGAACAAGGATTCCTTCTATTTGTATTGTGTCGTTTGCGCGAAGCTATTCGGCAAAGGAGCCATACTACATTGATTCTTCGGGAGTTTTTCGCCAAATTTTCAACGAATATCGTGCCGCAACGACTGAAGTCGCCTGATTTACCTCCATGTGGCTTCTGGCTATTCAGTGAACTCTAACGACTGCCCCGAAAAACCCGTTTTGAGTCAATTCAAGACATAAACGTGAATCGCTACGCGCACTGAATGTTAGTCCGGAAATTGACTTTTATTGTTTCAAAGATTGGAAATAACGTTGGCAGAAGTGTATTGGGGCCAAGGGGGATTATTTTGAGAGAGACGAAATAGATTTTTAAGAATAAACTAAAAATGGTAAAATTATAAACAAAGTCTTATTATTCTTTGCTCATATGTAGTTGAAATCATTGGTACTTCATTTGATAACTGAGAAGTGTAAGAATCAGATGGATTTTGGTGGATATGGTTCGTCCATAAAATCCTGTTGTATCATCTCAGTTATAAAATTTTCTGCTTCTGGCGCATTAATTTATAGATTTGTCGCACTTTTAGTAATTTGTATTAGAACTGTCAAATGGGCAGGGTTATTATCCGATTTCTCCCACTTTGTACAGCGTTAATTGGGGTCTTTAAGTGACTAGTTAATAGCGAATCTGGATATTATAACTTGAATATTTAAGAAGAAGAAGAAACACCTTACAGGGCGAGACCATGCCCATTTTTTCTAAAAACTAGCCCACTTGTGCCCTTTGCTACTGCGATTTCCTGAGCCATTGTATTTTTATTTTAGTGCTTAGTTATGGCACTTTATAGATTTTCGTTTAAAAGCGTTTTGTAAGCTCGGCAGTTGTCCGATTTCGCCTGTTTATTAAATCATTCTCACTTTTTTACAAATGAACTCGTTTACAATGCTTTATTAAGCTATCTCAAATTTTACAAAAATTATCGCTTGGACAGACAGTCACTCGGATTTCAACTCGTTTTATCATCTTGATCATTTTTATACATATATAACTCCATATTTAACTCGAGTCTTTTATGTGATACAAATAACCGTTGGGTTGGAAAAAATATACTCCTATATATACTATACAATAACGTCCTTTTCTTCTTAATCGGGTTCTTTACTACTTATTAAATTGTACTGAATGATATGATTATATGTCTCAAAACGGTCCGCGCTTTATTAATCATATAATTATTAATTAATTCATGTTTTTGAATAGCACGTTTATAGATAATTCATATGTAGTACATTTTCGCATAAGCATATTTAAGATTTGACGGTTTTAAGAAAGTAGGACGGAAATTAATGCTATTTTAGAAATATTGCAGGAGATGGTATCAGGTTGAACAGGTCTGAACGCTAGTATTAAATAAAAATAATAACAATTAGATTCATATGACAAAAATAATATTAGCAGCTACTAGTGGTAGTAGTGCAACCTATTGTTCTAAATGGGCATAAAAATACAATACACCTATATACCTTGCACATATGTATATATTAGGGGTATATTTATGCTTGTAATGAAAATTTTCTAACATCAAATGTTTTATTTGCCACATCATAAATATTATATAAGAGGGCCAGAATATTGCAAGTTGTTAAGCGATTACTTGTGTTTTTAAATAGCAGCAATGTTAAAGAAGGCATGCCTATACCAGTACGCAGATATTGTTACGGCCAACCAAATTTCAGTTCTATCATAATAAGAGAATATACATTCTCTTTCACTCTACAATATTTGTATGCATTTATATGTAATGATAAGAGAGGCTTGAACATTAGCAGTTGTAAAATAACAACAGCACCTGTTCATTGGATAAGGCAGAGCGACAGAGAGATTGCAAATAAATATTTTGTAACAAGTGCTTCGTGAATGGTACACCACCAGCTGCTTTTCGCTTATGCTTGTAACAGTTGTCACCATTGAGAATTACGAATTTTAATGGAATACTGTACACACACATATACGTTTCTTCGTTGCAAAAATATATTTGTGATAATAATTGGAGATTGAAGTTTTTTTGTAGTTTTGCATTTTATTCGTTGGGTATGATTTTCTTAAGTAGAAAAACTGATATTTAAATCAGTAAAGCGTTTTATAGTTTGTTCTTGTTAGTGGAGTATTATTATACTAACTAGGTATTAATTTTATATATGACCAGTTATCATTAATGTTGGCGGAAACAACATTTCACATGAATTTGATGATAGATGCTTTTGTTTTAATTGTGTAATTGCACCAGAGCCTTTAGGTTGCACAAAAGCCACGCCAGCACGAAACCTCAGTGTGCGACAAATATCGAAGTGAAGTCGACCTCTTGCACATGAGCGCCCTTTCGTAAGGATTTCTAACAATTCATTTGATAAATACCAATGCACCATTGTACGATGGCATTAAGAAAATGAAAGAAAATAGTTACATTATACTGTTGTACTTACTATTTAGCCCCTCATCTTTGACAATAAACTCACTTCGTCGGCCTCATTTGAAATTCGATGACACTTTTCTATACGGCGCCAAGCATCGATGCAATACGCAATCAGAAACACTACAGTGCTAGTTTCACTTTCGGCGAAAGAGTATCAGCATTTCCCGAACGCATTTCGCCTACATTTGGTTTATGTACACGCATCTCACCAAAGTAGTTAACCCGCTACTCAAGCGATGTCTTAAGCAGTAAAAGTAGTGCTATGCTGCTATGATGACGCGGCTACGTATGATAGTGGAGGTGAGCGCTGCCGGTTTTAATACGTTATACACACCATTTAAAAAGTAAACAACAAGTTATATGATTTCAAATAATTAATGAAATAGTGCTATGGAAAACCAAATACACATTTATCGCATATTATACGATGCAAATCAATAACTTCTTGCATAGTGAATAACTAAACCAAATTATTACAGCACGAGAAATGTCTTAAATTTACTAAAAAAATTAACAATACGTGTTAAATAGTAAATGAAAATAACATTCAATTGTGAATCTATTAAAATAATTATTTTGGAGTGAATAAGTGTTATACACAAGTTTATCATCTTATTTCAATTTAAACCTAAACATAAAAGTAGGGTGTGCAAATTTGTTAAATGTTATTATAATTATGATTCATTACTTGTGACAGAAATTTGGTTGGTGTTTTCAAATAAAAAATAAGAATGAATTTTCATTTGTCAACAAATTTACAAATAAGGTGTTAACTTACCCAAATGTAAAATTAGTTAATTGGTAGTCTGCCATAAAAGATCTAATCTTTGGCAAAGCTTTTATTTTTAAAAATTTTAATGAAATTCTGGGTTGAAATTGTTGAAATATTTTAAGATATAACTGGTGAAAAAATGGATAACACAACTATAAACCACACCAAGTTTGCATTCAATAATTAAGAGCAGTAACTTTAAATTAAAGATTTACGGGAATTGTTCCGAAGTAGCTCATTAAGCGACAGGACAGAGAGATGAATTTATCGAATAATATATTATATGTATGTATACAATTTTAATTTTATATAAAAATATTTTTGAAAGATTCCTTATGTAAAATAACCAGTACATATTTTTCTAACAATTTTAATGTGTATGCGATTTTGCCTGTGCAAACACGCCATTCATTCTCGTATGCATATACATATTTGTTTAAATATGTTATACTTCCGAATGTAAGCATACATATAAGTATATAATAATTGCTTTGAGTGTTTACGTTTACGTGGCGCTGTCATTGGCTGTGCCGATTGTAAGAGTAAATGCATTTGTGTGAATAACCGTTAACAAAAATAGACACAACTATACTGATGTCATTTACAAGAATGATGTACTGGTTAGCTATATTCAATATTAGTTATCAAATAACCAAAGCATACCAAAAGTTTAATTCGATATTTCAACAAACATATTTTTATATTATTGCAAAATGTTCCTATAGAGTATAATAGTTATGTTCACCTAACCGTTGTTTGTATCACTTATATATATATATATATACATGTATAGGTTTTCGTTTAGATGCGTTTTATGGGCGTGGCAATGGTCCGATTCATCCCATCAGCAGGAGTAACGTACCTAGTTTTATTTAGATACCAGCGTTCATATATATAAACATATACATACGTATATATATCAGAATCGTATCATTGACTTGGTATCTAAATAAAACTAGGTACGTTGCTCCTGCATATGGGATGAATCGGATCATTGCCACGCCCATAAAACGCATCTAAACGAAAACCTATACAGTTCCATGACTAAGCCCTATAGTAAATTTAGGACGGTTATTTGGTATGCGGTATCACGTTAGAGAAGGGCATTTGCTGTTTTAAAGCATTTGAAAAACTGCGGCTCCTGAATAAGCCAAAATGTTATTAAATTGAACAAAATCGAATTGTAACTCCGCCCACTTCCCATAAAACAGAGACGTTAAATGTAACACCCAAAATAACACGAGAGAACTTTGTAAGAAACGGATGTCAAATTTGAACTATGGGTGTGACACCGCACTCTTTTAGGTCAAAACACACGTCTCCGGATCTACTATACCACTTGTAATCAAATACGGTACGCAACATTATTCTGATATTCAAACATTACGTTATATATTTATTTATAATATCGGTTAAAAATATATTCTCAAGTACTATATACCTCTGAAAGTCAAAATATATAGAGATCTCCGATTTCACCTGATTTTAAACCTTTCAGGTTGGTCAAAATTTGTGATGTTATAATAAAAGAAAGTGGAAAACTTTGCTTAAAAATTATGTGATCCAAGTAGAGACACTTTTTTCAAAGACTGCACACGAAGACCGTGGAGAATCGTGATCTTAAATTGAAAGCGTACAGAATACAGCTTGTGCAAGAATTTATTCTGAAGCGCCATCACTTCGCTTTATGGGCTCTTGAAAAGATTCCAAGGCACCTGACGTTTTTTATCCAAACTTGCTTTAGCGATGAGGCTTATTTCTGTATCAATGGGTATGTAAACAAGCGCAATTGTCGCATTTGTGAAGAAGAACAACCTGATTAGATTTAAGAGCTACCATTTTACCCTAAAAACAACGGTATGGTGTGGTTTATTAGCCAGTGGAATTATCGCTACATATTTCTTCAAAAATTATGTCTATGAGAACATAATCGTCATTGGCGACCATTATCGTGACTATTTGATGTCTGAAATTGAAGTTCGTGATTTCGGCGACATTTGCTTTCAGCCACTTTCCACAAATCGCATCAATCATTGGATTTGTTGAGAGAACACTTCGGTGAGCAGGTAATTTTACGTTTTTGACCGATCGATTTGCCACAAAGATCGTGTGATGTCACACCGTTAGACTTCTTCCTGCGGATATAGTAAGTCCATGCGGATAATCCCGCTTCAATTTGGGCCTTGGATCAAAGTATAGGTGTCTTTAGCCAGTTACCAGCTGAAATGCTCGCATGAATCATAAAAAATTAGACTCACGTGGTCTTAGCCACGGCCAATATTTTATTGGTTTTATACCTATAAAAGAAATGCCTAAACATGTTCATTCGAATGATAATAAGCATTGCCCATTAAATTTCTAATTTGTGTTTTTTCGTTAAAATTGTTGGGAACTTCGAAGCCTTTAAAACCGAGTAAGTTCTGAATACATTGACCCGACTTCGTGGAATTCTAGTGGAAAATAAGTAATTGTGTACAGTTTTTGATATAAAATGAACCTAGTATATAGATTACCCATAGGCTTATGAATTTGCCACCAACCTGTAAATTCTTCGTTATATCAACAGTTCATATTTCTACGTAGCAATTCATAATATGCCCTCACAATAATAACAACCGCAAAATTGAATAAAGTTACATTACAGTAGCAACAACAACACCATGTGCAGTTCATTGCAGCAGCGGTAGTGACGCCAAAATTGTGACAAGATTAGGGAATAGCAAACAGGGTATATATTTTTTAGTTTTATTTTGGATTGTAAATAAAGCACATAGCGCTCGCTCCTACTAGCATCCACAATCTTTTAATATGAACATAGTGCTGAAATCATAATTGGAGTCGAACGCGGTTTCAACGAAAACTAATTCCTGATTACTACAGCCAAGATCTTTTATAAATTTTTCATGTAACTTAATGTAAAAATTAAAAAAGGCAAGTAAGGAAGGGCTAAGTTCAGGTGCAACCAAACATTTTATACTCTTGCAACTTACAGGAATCAAATTGCGGGAAATACTTTCAGGTATAAAACCAATAACATAGAGTAACTCACATATTTGTCGATATATGCGGTACAAAGTTACCCCGAAGTTCTAAAATCTTTATATTACATATATGGGGCTAAGGGAAGTATTGGTCCGATTCAACCAATTCTTGACATACAGACATACCATTTTAAGGGAAGAATTATCCCTTAGTTAAATATATCACACACTGACCGACATTTTTGATCAAAAGTCAACTATACGTAGCGGGATCAAAATATTTGGTACCTAGGAGCTTGGACTTTTTTTTATTAGACAAAGTTTTATCCCGTTATATTAATTGCTTCTAGATTTGTGTACTGGAAACTGAACGAATCGAATGAAATTTAAAATTGTGCAATATGGGAAGGAGTAGTCTGATTTCGTCCATTTTCACAATGTCACACAGGAATGTAAACACAATGCCTCGTATTAAAATCGTTTTGTTCGATCCCGAGATATGGAATTTCACCAAAAAGTGGGCCCATCGTTCAATTTTTACACCGGCTTCCATAAAGCTTTTTCATACCATCTCGGTTATCTTTCGATTTCATCCATTTTTGTACTAACGGTAGAAGATTTTTATAAGATTTCTACTCAGCGAATTTGGGTATTCTAGATTAAGTGGTTTAGGAGAGAGGTACATTAAACTTGTTAGAGGACGGGGCCACACACTCTTTTTTTAAGTTTCCTAAAGGTGCCCCTGGCTACTGCGATCCCCTGTGCTAAATTACAGCTTCATACCTTAATTAAGAGCATAGTTATATTACTTTATATGCTTTCGGTTAATGGCAATTTGTGGCCGGGGAGGTGATCCGATTACGCCCATCTACGAACTCGAACTTTTTTTTGTACTAAGAAGCCTGCATACCAAGTATCATCAAGATATTTCAATTTTTACTGAAGTTATAGCTTGCACGGACGGACGGGCAGACAGACAGACAGTCAAGCGGATATCAACTTTTCTTGTCATCCTGATCATTTATATAATATGTATATGTATAGAAGTTATTAGGTGAACCAATCTACAATACTAGCAACTGGTTGCAAGAGTATAAATATTAAAATCAATAAGAAATATTTAAAAACAGGGCATAGCTCTAAATTAGTAAAGACTAAAAGTTTTAGAGACTACAGTGAAAGTGGAGGAGTACCAGGCAAATTCTTCTTCTGTTTACAAATTCCTAATTCTTTCGAAAAGAATGCGACGGTTGATAACATAAAGTCAATGAACTGACACACAGTCAAGTTCCTTCTTAATGATAATTTTTCAGTAAAAACAAAATGAAAGAAATGGGCAGATAGAGAGATTTCATAGCACCTTAACTGAAATCGTTAGAGCACTAGTCTATAACAAGCTATAAATGATACCAATGAACTAATACTGCTTGCTACTACAAATTACAATATATCAATTCATGCAGTAACTGGGTGTTAACCAATCGAGCTAAAATTTTCTGTATCTTTGGACCTTAAGACCGAAATAAAAGCAAACTACTTAAAGCCCAGGAAAATGAATTGGTAATAGCGGTAAACTTACAAGGTTTTTCAAGCCAGGGGATAAAGTTTATGTTAGAACCAATAAAAAATTGGCAATAAACTTACAAAAGTTTGTACGGAAAAAACGGTTCAAAAGGATCTAGATCCAAGGTTTTAATAGATAATAGGAAGGCTCACAAGAATCACCTCAGGTAATAATTTTTTATTTTATTTTCCCCTATAATATAGAGTTATATTACCAGTTTTTCGTACTCTGGAATTCGACAGCATAATTATCAAATTTACAAAAATCCAACTACATAAAAGTTATTGACGGAAATATAGCAGTTTCGGACAAACATGGCTACTTAACGCATCCAATAATTTAGACAAATTACCTCACCGTTTTGAGAGAAACAGAAAATATATTTCACGTTTTCCCCAATCACACATGACTAAAGTTCTTGAGGCAGACTCAAATTTATTGATTGATTGGCACGGTGAAAATTCGCCATAGACAAGCGCTAGGCATATATAGTATAAGATTGACACTGCGCTAAAATACATGCGTGGAAATTCGATTTCGACAGCTTTAATGATCTTATATAATATTTAATGCACAAGAACAACAGCAAATCGATAAATTCATCGAGACTGTTAACAAATATTATTCTTCTTCTTTGTTGGCGTAGACATCGCTTACGCTATTATAGCCGAGTGAAAAAAAAGTAAATACTATTGCTAATACAAAAAAACCGACGCTAACACGGTTAATCTTTTCGAATT